AAATCTAGCAAATCGTCTGGCTACAGAGGTTCCATGTCTTCGCAAGGTTTCGGGCGAACGCGGTGGTGTTATCATCGAGGGCCTGGTTTTGGTCCTCGTCTCCTTGATCCTTGCCTTTTACTTCAGCTGGCAATTGGCCCTGGTCAACCTTGCCTTCCTTCCGCCTCTGGCTCTGTTTGGTGCACTGCAGGTGAATGATTCCCACGCTGTTCTCCAACCGAGTTAAATAAGGCAGCTAGATAATTTTGCGGACAGGGAATATTTTGTCCCGCCAGTTGATAACTCATTTTTTTAAATAACATGTGCAAATGAACCATCAATATATAGCAACAACAACCTAGAATTTGATTGTTCTCATGCAATTAGCTAGCTTCCCGATAGTGCTGCGGGTTGTTTTCCGATTTGTTTTATTTAGGCTCAAGATATGGTCTCATCTGTTGGGGCAAATGTAGTGGCAGGGTCGGAGATTGTGCAAGAATCCGTTTCCGCTCATCGCACAGTTGCCAGTCTTGCTGTCCAAATGCACTTCTACTCGGCTTTCCGGGAGAAATTTCTGGGAGCAAGGCGGTGAGTTTGTAATCCCGATTTGTGATGGAGGCATATCTTATTGTTAAGCCAGAGGCTGTCAATTGAAGCGTCACGCATGATAGCTTTGACACCTCAATTATTTTTACATTCGAGATAACGAAACAATTCATATACTTCTTAAGAAGGAACGAAGAGTTTATCTGCATGACAGTTCTGTTTAGTGGAGAAGGTAGGCTGAGTTTTACTGAATATAATAAACCGAAAAGTATGCTTAATGTGTAGTCAGTTTAAAGACTGAAATACACGCTTGAACGCATATAAGATCTTTTCATGTCGATTGATATTCGTTCGTCCGGACTATAGCTGTTTTTCCAATTGAAAGGATAAATTCAATGTTCAGTGAAAATAGGAAATCGCGCTACCGTTTAAACGCAGTGGATATGCTGATTCACGACATTTTAAACGCAATTCTGAAGTGTGCATGCAATTCGATTAGGATACGTTAGTAGGGTCGTATTTTTATTTACCGGACAGTAAAAACCCAGGGTTTTTCATTCGTATCAGGGCTTTTAAATAAGCTTCGTTTTAGTTCTCATCAGAAAGAGCATACTGTAAAAAATTATCAGTGAGATAGTATGAAATTATATTTAACTTTTGATGTGCTTGTAACTTTGCGTCTATTTTATCGAAAACGTGCGCACAAATATATTTGCTTGTCGTCATTTGACATAAAATTACGCCCTATAAAAATTTTACACTGTATTTAAGAGTCTATGTTGGCTTAGAAAAAAATTCGCGATTAAAGTATGTTTAAAAACTGCCTATAGGCTGTGTTTATAAAAAATCGCATAGGTGCATTAACTAATGCTGCTTTTAAAGGTTGGTACATGGTCCAAATCCACAACAAAAGTTTTTGATGGCACTATATGGTATTTAAAAAGCATAAAGTAATGTGCCAGTTCCCTTGGTTTGCATGCATTCGTGATAAAATTGGAAAATTCTGAACGGCAGGCCTGGATTAAAACTATTCGAGTTGAAAGAACATGTCAAAGCGGATAAGAACTGAAAATTAGTTTTTGCGGTTGACCTGCTAATAAAATAATTTATCTTTTCTTCAGCGGAAAAAAGAAATCCAACATCGTTTATTCAATTATAAGTGCGGTCGCACAAGGGGTTCAATTTTTCCAGAGCGCCGCAGTATATTACGCCGGTGCAAAACTTATTGACAATGACACGCTAACATCCGCCGACCTATTTCGGTACGTTGGTCTTAAACAAGTTTCGTCTGGCATTGCTTGACCTAATCGACTTTCAGAAACATGCTTAAATTAATACGCACAGAACGGCAAATCCGTACAAAAAATTTAATTTTTTAATAATATTTATATGTGAGAACAAAATCAATATCAGGTATGCAGTTAGGAACGCGAGTCAGACGATCCTTATTGTGGCTTTAATTTTTTCTATATTATTGAAAAGATTAATAGGATCTTAAGGTTTAGCATTTCGAGCAACTCGCGCTAAAGCAGCTTTCATGTTTATTACAAATTCCGTAGTTTTTATCTTCACTATCCTTTTAACTCCTGAAAGCTAGTCATTGTTTTATTAGGACTATGATTCAAAAAGAGAACTTACATACAAAAACGACAGAAAATTACATTCTGTGGTTTACTGAAATCCATTATTACTAAAATATTCTTAACCATTAGTTAGTTGATCATGTAGTTTTGTGACCTCTCTAAATAAGAATCAGAAACATTATAGTAATTTTTCAGGAAACCTTTAGCATCGAAAAGTTTCAAGCCGATAAGTTTAGCGTCATCTGATTCAAAGCTCTATAAAAATAGGGTCGAATGCTCATTAAGAGGATAGAAAACTTCTCTAAATCAGTGCATAACAATAATGTCTTTGTTATGCCGCTCCTCGGCGAATACTCCTACTTCGCCCCATATTTACAAAATTGTAGAACAATTTAAGTTCATTAAATATTCGCATTTTTTTCTAACTTGAAAAGTTAATTTGTTAGGCAAAGTATACTTTTCGGCAAATCATCTTCATGGCCATAACATTGCAAACTAGAAAATTTGAACAGGTACAAAAATCAATAATTTCAGGGTTATGCGCCTATTGGGTCGCTTTGGTCGTCGCTTTACCAGTTCGCTGTTGTCTACAGGACACCAACCAACCTCTCCAAAGGCCTACGCCAACGGGTGC